GCTGCGTCGTTCGCAATGAGACATAAGGAGGCATACTTCTGCGCAGCTTTGCCGTTGAAGTAGTAGCTACCATTGAGAGGAATCGACCATGTGTTGTTGATGTCTTCGCGTAAATGGTTTACGATGCGCTGCTGCCGGGAGACGCTCGATGCAATTTTACGGGACGGATAGAAGTCTTCGGGTACCGGCTGTGTTTCCTTGATTTCCCACACAGGATCGCCGGGTCCACCTGGTGTTAAGAAAGCCTGGTGCACACCTCGAGTTGTTGAGTGGGCTATCATGCCGTCCACTTGGCGTACCCCGCTACTCGTGACCAGGGTCTCAGCGTGGTGTTTCATTGCGAAATGCAATAGGCCACTGGAACAATCGCCCATCGTCTTCCACCTGAAGACATAGGAACTGTCATCACGGAGGTCAACGTTCGCTGCTTGCACGATGCACGACTTGTGCTTCTCTAGCGTGCTCAGCCATGAGTCTTCGAGAACGACAGCAACACGCAAGACGCCGTCGAATACGCTTGTACTTTTGAGGGAGGATGTACCATCGGCAGCCAGAGTGATGTCTTTCGCAGTACGACCGTCACTTGACAATGCGAAGACTACCCACTTCTGACCGGAGTTGTAGACGATCTCGAACTTGGAGCCACGCACTCGACCACCGAATGGTCGGCCGTTGACGGTAGAAATCGCTGTTGCTGATACCAATCGTGGAGTGAGTCCCGAATATTTCATGGAGGCGTACACCATGCCGGAAACAATGTCCGACACCATGCTACCACCGGACGAGCTGGCAGTGAACTTGACCGTCACTCCCTGGTCCGCCCAGTCGATAACTTGGAAGTTGGGCTTCCGTCCCGTGAGCTCTTCAGCTGAAAACAAGAACTCTCGAACCATGCCATGCGCATAGTACTTAACAGCGCCGTTGTTGCCAGAGCTGCCGCCACTGAAGCGACTGCGGTACGGGTAGCTCGCGGACATGCCAAACGGGGCCTTGTCGACTACCATCTGCAGGGAGTATGGATTGGACCAAATGGGTTGGATGGCCGCATTCGAGTCGTGCGCGATAATGTTGCCCCACCAGTTGTTGGTCGGGATCGCGCGGTTCTTGATCACCGACGGATCAAGATACTTGGGTGGACACAGGCTCATCATGGCTTTTGTGCGCTCGAAGAGATGGCTAGGCGGGTCTAAAGCGCGAAACTCTGAGGGCGTACCATCACCTACCTCCACAGGTAACAGGTCTGATGATGCCAACATATTTGCGTCACCACCATTCGTCACATTTAAGGTGATGTTGTTGAGTGCAGGCGCAAACGTGGATGCCTCCACATGTGAGCTATCACTAAAGCTTGTAAATTCATTATCATCAAAGTCTTGACCGGCGACTTGAACAAGGTGAAGATGCTGGAGAAATGTGCCGATGCCGATCAGAGTTGCCGCAGATATCTTCATGCTTGTCCCTGCTGCAGAACGATAATGGTGTTCTCGATTGCGGACAGAGCGTCGAGCTGACAAGTGAGCTCTAGTGTCTGCGGGAGCACCGGATAGCTCAGACATTGAAAGGCTTATCCATCTTCGATGCCTGGCAAGCGTAACGAGTAAACGTAGACTGAGTGCGTCAATGTTTGATGATCCTGCTGCATTCTGACTAGAACTTCCTTGTCGGTTGGTCCCTCGACAGCAGTTAAGACAATCGACAAAACGTCTTTTGCAAGCTATGCCTACTCAGATGTAACCGAATCATCAGCTAGAATAACGGTGTCTTGTGCACTGACCAAGTTTGCTGCTGGAGGTAAACTTCAGGTGTGCGTGTAAGCCTGATGTCGCTTCAGCGCAGGTTCATTTAACTCTAACACGGGTGACAGACGTTGCATTTCCGACCTGTATTGACTTCGCATTATGGTCACCAGAGCATCATAATTTGAAACGCGACATTGTTCAAGTTTATCATCCAGTCGCTTGACACACATGAGCCTATTGCATCATGTCGTCTCGGTTGTTACGAAAACCAATTTCGGAACAATGTGCGACCTGTGGTTCGTGCGCGTATAGCGTTTTTCTTACGGATGGTTATCACAAATGCTCGCGCAGCGGTAGTGTCTCAAATGGGAATGCAGGACAGGGATTCGGTCGCAATTGCTCTCGATTCGAATGTCTGGACCCACCCTTCTCGGCTAATTCATCTAGCATTGATACTATCTGTTAGTCTGCACAGTAGAATGATCGCATAAACCAGTGCAGCCCGTAAGATATCGAGATCGATAGGCTGTCCGTTCGCGCTCAGGCGTTGAAGTCAAAGGGTGTTTGAGTTCAGATGAATGAAAAACTGTCGCAGCCTACTTCAAAATTCCCGCCGCTGAAACCGCGGGCTGTAGCTGCAGCTGTCGTTACACTTGTCTCTTCTCATCTTACCGAATGAATTGGGCATTTTCGTTTCTTTAAACGCGATCATTTACACTGTACGCAATAGGGTGTGGAGGCCAAGAATTGACAAATGGATTTTAACGTTCGTCGCCGGAGCGATTCAACTTTGTAAATTGCTGCCTCGTCGTTTTTTAGACAGCAGCACTTTTGGACACTCTTACAGAAGCCTCAGGGGCTCAGAACTCCTCGACAGTTGCGGACACCCTTCGAACCCTAAGCTTACGAAGGAGGTTTTATTTTATACGTGTGGCGAAAGACCATTAGCCGTCGCGATGTTTGCGGTTTGCTGACATCATAAGAAACGGTACTTCAATAATGTGGCTGCTCAATTAGACCTATCCAAGCGCATTTTAGCCTCAATCCCCATGGACGTCTTTCGCTATCTTTCTAGTCCCTTTCAAGCAAAGTTACTCCGTCTGGAACTCGACTTTACTTACACACCAGCGCAGTCTCGATGAGAAGCATATAACCTACGATGTTTACTAATAAACAGGTCACGAGTAATGAATATGGATTACTAATTTGTAGAGACTCGTGCGAACATCTGAATGAGGTCGTTCTTCTTTCCACGCAACGTTTTATCCATCTTTCACTGTGGAGATACACAAGCCCTGTCAGCACATATAAAATACATTTACCAATAAAAACATGCTTCGATGCATTTTGTAATCTATCAAAACTCATAAAAGTGATTACATGCATATTTGCAAATTTTATCGGAATGGAGTGAAATTTGTGTTTTTGGCCGCATTACCACTGTTGAAGAGGTGCACTGATGACGATTTCAGTAAGCCCCCTAAATTATCTAGGAACACTAACGAGGTGGTACGAACGTATCAAGCGCACTGTGTATCTATCCAGCCGTCAGCCAGCTGCATCGGAAGAATTGCGTGCCAGCCAAAAAAAAATCTCCCATTTTACAAATGCTCCTGGGTGAGTAGAGATAGACCTGAAGCTTAAAGGTTGACAGCTGCAGCGTACATTTATCCGTAGTTCCTTGAAGAGTGTTCACGGCCCTCCGTTTCGGTACACATGAAAATGCTTTTTTTTCACTAGGACAGAGGACAATCACCACCTCGTTGTAGGTCAAAAAGAGGCATTTAGCCATTTTAACACAATCGCTGTCCTGTTTTGTAACGGGGTAGCCCTTTACATGATATTGACACCAAACGGTGTCAACAGGGATATAGTCTAGCATGACAATTCCCTACCAATATTATCCGAGATGGACAATATTGAAGGAATATTATCCCCTTTTAGAAACTATTCATGCGCTGCTCCAAGATTGGTTGATATCAGACATATCAACCATAGATTGCCACCAATCGCTGCTAGACGCGCGCAATGAGTGGTAAGCAGGTTTTCGTCAAACGACGACGTAGTTTAATATAGTTGGATGAAGATTAAAGTTATATTGACAGCTTAACTATATAAATACAGTTCTCTTTTTGCCTTCACTTGAGCGAGTCGTTCAAGTAGATTAGCTTCCTCTGCACGTACTAGTGTACGTGAAGTTTTGTGGCACCCCAAACAAATGGTGCCCCGTTACATGCTTGGTGTAAGTCCACACACTCCAGCTGATTTGTGAAATAAACAATGGATTGCGCTAGCTTTATTTTTGTAGCCTATTGTACAACACGGCAAAACCTCATCACTTTGGATCCTGGGTGCACAATGCTTCGAATCATCTAACAACGTGTTTTCGTTTCCCTCCAGGTGATCGTGTAATTTTGTAGGCGATTAATATCATCCATATTTAATCGCGAGACCGAGCGTAAAGTCATTAGTAACTGTAGGAAGGTGAGTGCCAAAATTTCTTTAATGAGCCCGAACGGTGAAGCTGTTAGTGAATGTGCGCAAGGTGGATGCCGAACTTTTCTGCTAGCCCGGAGGGTGAAGCTGTAAATGACTATGCGCAAGGCTGAAATGCTGAGCCTTGAAATTTTATTTACCTGCGAGTATGTACGTGTCTGTCGGCATGCGTGTGTCTGTGCAGTAAATATCGCGGCTAGGTGTATCTTACACGTACTAAGTTCGATCTAAATACTGCGACTAGGTGTACCTTATACGTGCTAAGTGCGATTTAGCCTGTCCCCTGCATAGGTATATAGGCATATATGAAGATACTCTCCGGCTAGGTCACTATTATGACACGCTTGCGATTGGCTTACAATATATCAAAAGCGAATACGATCACATAAGCAAATTCTGGACGCTCATAAGCAAAGGCTGGTCGCGTTGCTTGAGTACACTGTAATGGATCAATACAGACAGTCACAGCATCATACTCTTTCTTTAGTGACTGCTGCTGTCGAAAACGTTAGATATCTTAATTTAGTTCTCCTAACTGGATTACTCTAATTAGAAGCCGAGCTCCTAAGCTTGATCCTCTATCTTATATATGAAGCGGGTTATTTCTGCAAAAGGCCGTAATGTGCGCGATCCCACGCGATGATTTATTTATCAGTCTTCTGTGCGCACCATTGGATCGAAGTGAAATCATCAAGCCGCTAAACAAACAAAACTCGCAAGTCGACCAATCTTATTCTTCGTGACGGTTATCATGTGACGGTATGATCCCGTCACATGATATTTGGATTTCGTATATATTAATCTAAGTATATTGGTGAGGCTAAAACTACTGTTGATGCGATGTTATAATGTAGAGTAAAAGCAAATTCAGCACTAGGTTAATGCAAACATTGCAAAACCCGCACCAGTTGCAAAACCAGCATCACTTCAGCACAACATTAATGCGTACCACGCTAAATGTTTTTCTATTTTTTGTATCTTTTCATTCCTCAATTTGCAGTAGCCAGTCAAGACGCCCCCCCCTCTCATGGCCACCCACTTTCGGCGAGGTTCGTCCCTAGCTCGACCCGAACTTTATGGGGGTTGAAATTTATGTAGGCCTCGGTCGCTGTATATGCGAAAGGAAGATCGAAAGGGGGCGAAGTACAGAAAATGACGGTAAGGTACCAATATGCTACAATCAGAATTTTTCTAACATTGAAAACCGTACCATGTTACTACGCGACATCCGTTTTTGATTAGATTCAGGTCATGCGCGTTAGGACTCGAACGAATCAAAGCCGAAGGTACCGCATATATGAGACCTTACTGTTGTGGTCATGCTATCGTTACAGTTTTCAGCGCATTTGAATGACGTGTGTGTATCAAGAATGTTGTATATATCGTGCATTTGCTCCTGTCGACTACTTTTTCTGCGTGTTATAGGTGACGGATCCACGGATGGAAAAGCGCATCACCAGACTTAGACGCTCCAGTAGTTGTGCGCTTGCATTCGACGGGCTATAAAAGGGGTGAGGGGGACCACGCACACTACACGCGCCATTTTTGCGGCGACAGTGCGCTCGAGAGCAATACGCGCTCGCATTGCATGTGAGCATCAAATCAAGGGAACACATGCAGGGCTGTGTTACATGAAGCATATCATGGCAATTATGATGTTACACCAACGTTATCACCGGTCATGAGAGAATAACGAGTTTGTCGTCCAGACTTAGGCACTAACGTGTAACCAGAAGCGTTAATCTTTTTACTCTACACGATCTTCTTTTCCTTAAATTTTTTAAGATTTTACAACGTTATAATGAGATATGAGATTGCAGCTAATTCAATAGAATGAATGAAATATTCTTTTGTGGGTCTCGGTCGAAAGGGTGTCATTCGCTGCGGTCGCCATCGTGACAAAAGGCGGTGTATTCGACACAATACCTGAGTAAATTTCCTTTGCAGTGACCTTAGCGTTCAAAGAACAACAGAGCTCGCATGGCGGCGACATGTTGTCCTTTTGTGCCCCACTTGCGTGCAAGAGCGGTATTTGTAAGTCGATCCTTGTTTTGAGTCCCCTAAACTCGTGGTTCTTTTTTGCTGGCGTCCATCTTGCTTATTGTACGCGGGTGGGTCGATAGATACTAAAGGTTCGTATAGTGACAACCACTTCAATTGACTTTCCGATGTAGCTCTGTTGGAACGTCTTCACAAGGTATGATGGATGAAAAGCA